TTATTAATAAAAACTTTCAGCTTACAAATTTAAGGAAAATGTCCTTGTTGAATCTTTTTTCTCTATGTCCTACTGTTGAATGTACATAATTAAGAAATATTGATTTTAAATTAAACTTTCGTTATTTTGAAAATGAGAAATGCAATAAATTTGGCTGCTTAAAATAATAAACACAATTTTTAGTTAATCTGTTGTTAATAAAAACAAGCAAAACAATTTTAAACTTAAACTAAGTAACAAAATTTTCAGATAAACTGTTGTTATTTAAAAAAAAGTGGAATGTTATATAGATATTTCGTATTTATATAAGCTTGAGTTTATAAGTTTCATGAAATTATTATTTTTTAATTTGCATCAAGCCGAATATAAATAATTACTAATAACTTTAATTCACTTCATGATATTTTTTTTAAAAACTGCAATAAATTTTATTTGTTTTTTTTTTTTCAAAAGGAAAAAACAAAACGTTAATTTAAGCTTTTGCTTTTTTAAAAAAGTAAAAGGCAGTGCATCTTTCCTTCGCGTAGAAGCTTCAGTCTAGTTCCCGTATGCATAGATTATAACTATTCCTACATATTTCTGATTTTGATTGAGCTTTTGATATTTTAAAAAAGTGTCATACCATAGGTTTATTTTCTTAAAAACTAAGCACTAAACTTATTTTTTTTTAAAAACAAAGTTAAATTTTAGCGTTTTAAGAAAGTAAAATATAATATATATTTCTTATTTAAGCGAGGTTTAGTTTCTAATTTTAAAAAAATTCTTCGAATTCATGCATGCTGTGAAATACGCATAACTATTAGTTATTTTTAGTTAAAACTTTAATTTTTTAATAGTGAATATTATTTTTTTCTTCATTGCAAATTTTCTTCATTAATACAAACAAATCATAAAAGTGTTTGAATGAAATGTCGTTCAATTTTTAAATAAAACTTTACAGTTAAAAATGTTGTAAGTTAAATTATTAAAAAATATGAGAATGAAGCCATGTTTTAAGCCAAATTATTGAAAGAAAGCAACAGTGAAATGCTATGAATTAAATTATTTTAAAAATTTTATGTGAAGAAAACCATAATTTTTTTAAATCTAAATCTAGCTTTTTCTCAATTGTAGATATAGTAGGGACAAATAACTATTTTTAAACTTTCTTTATATCAGTTTCATGTCTATAAGCAAGATTTATAATAGATATATAAAAAAAGTTATTTACTTACTTGTTTATAATCATAAATTCAATAATTAAAATATCAAATCATTAGACTAATAAAAAAATCAAAGTTTGTTTCTGTTTCAAAGTTTCGTAATTAAAATATTCAAATCTTTATGGCTTAAAGTGAATTTTTAAAATCTTGCCTAAATATTTCATTTATTTTAAAAAATATTATTAATTTACTTGTTTTTACTTTTAATATTTATGACTATTAATAGATTCTTAATATATAATATA